AGAGGAAAAAAAATTGGAGAACTGTGACTGAAAATGACCATAACTTTTGATCTAGAAATCGTTACTGGGCCTATAGTATACCAAATCAAAGCACTTTTCGAGATGTACAATCATGGTCGGCCGAAGCCCGTGCACATAATTTTTCGGGCTAAAATTCTTTTGTTTTCATTTGTTTCGGAGGAAAAAAAATCGAAGAACTGTGACTGAAAACGACCATAACTTTTGAGCTAGAAATCGTTACTGGGCCTATAATATACCAAATTCAAACTCTTTCTGAGCTCTACAATCGTGGTTGGATGTAGCCCGCCAATCTAATTTTTTAGCCTAAAATTCACTTGTTTTCATCAGTTTCGGAGGAAAAAAAAAATCTAAGAACTATGACTGAAAACGGCCATAACTTTTGATCTAGAAATCAATATTGGGCCTATAATATGCCAAATCAAACCTCTTTTCGAGCTGTACAATCGTGGCCGGGCATAGCCAGCTAAATCAATTTTATGGGCTAAAATTCACTTGTTTTCATCACTTTCGGAGGAAAAAAAATCTGAGAACTGTGACTGAAAATGACCATAACTTTTGATCTAGAAATTGTTACTGGGCCTATAATATACCAAATCAAAGCTATTTTCGAGATATACAGTCATGGCTGGCCGAAGCACGCCAACTCAATTTCTCGGGGCAAAATTCACTCGTTTTCATCAGTTTCGGTGGAAACAAATTAGAGAACTGTGACTGAAAACGACTATAACTTTTGTTCTAGAAATCGTTACTAGGCCTATAATATATCAAATCGAAACTCTTTTTGAGCTCAAAAATCGTGGTGGAACGTAGCCCGCCGACCCAATTTTTCGGGCCAAAATTCACTTGTTTTCATCAGTTTCGGAGGAAAAAAATTGAGGAACTGTAACTGAAAACGGCCATAACTTTTGATCTAGAAATCGTTACTGGGCCTATAATATACCAAATCGAAACTCTTTTTGAGCTCTACAATTGTGGCAGGACGTAGCTCGCTAACCAAATTTTTCGAGCCAAAATTCACTTGTTTTCATCAGTTTCGGAGGAAAAAAAAATCGGAGAACTGTGACTGAAAATGACTATAACTTTTGATCTAGAAATCGTTACTGGGCCTATAATATGCCAAATCAAACCTCTTTTCAAGCTGTACAATCTTGGCCATCCGTAGTCCGCCAAGGCAATTTTTCGAGCCAAAATTCGCTGTTTTCATCAGTTTCGGAGGAAACAAATCGTATAACTGTGACTGAAAACGGCTATAACTTTTTATCTAGAAATCGTAATTGGGCCTATAATATACCAAATTGAAACTCTTTTCGAGCTCTACCATCGTGGTGGGGCGTATACCATGGACCCAATTTTCTGGGCTAAAATTCACTTGTTTTCATCAGTTTCGGAGGAAAAAAATTGGAGAACTATGACTGAAAACAACCATAACTTTTTGATCTAGAAATCGTTACTGGGCCTATATTATACAAAATTGAAACTCTTTTTGAGCTCTACAATCGTCGCAGGACGCAGCCCGCGGACCCAATTTTTCAGGCCAAAATTCACTTGTTTTCATCAGTTTCGGGGGAAAAAAATTCGGAGAACTGTGACTTAAAACGGCCATAACTTTTGATCTAGAAATCAATACTAGGCCAATAATATGCAAAATGAAAGCTCTTTTCAAGCTGTACAATCATGGCCGGGCATAGCCCGCTAACTCAATTTTTCGGGCCAAAATTCACTTGTTTTCGTCACTTTCAGTGGAAAAAAATCGGAGAACTGTGACTGAAAACGACCATAACTTTTGATCTAGAAATCGTTACTGGGCCTATACTATACCAAATCAAAGCTCTTTTTGAGATGTACAATCATGGCCTGCCGAAGCCCGTCAACTCAATTCTTTGGGCCAAAATTCTTTTGTTTTCATTTGTTTTGGAGGAAAAAAATCGGAGAACTGTGACTGAAAATGACCATAACTTTTGATCTAGAAATCGTTACTAGGCCTATAATATACCAAATTGAAACTCTTTTTGAGCTCTACAATCGTGTTGGGATCTAGCCCGCCAACCCAGTTTTTTGGGCTAAAATTCACTTGTTTTTATCAGTTTGAGAGGAAAAAAAATCAGACAATTGTGATTGAAAACGGTCATAACTTTTGATCTAAAAATCTTTACTGTGCCTATAATATACCAAATCGAATGGAAGAGCCAACATCCATTACCTAAAATACTTTCAATCAGTATGTTATATAAGTAAAAGATTAGGAAAAAAAATAATTGTATTTACTAATGGAAGGAAAAATAGTTCTTTTTTCCTCTCGCACTCCCTCTTTTCCAGCGTAATCAAAACCTCCATCAAACCAAAATTACTACAGGCAAAGCAAAGAAATAGTAGCGTTTGTCATAAAAAAACTTTTGTTGCAGCTTTAACATTGAAACGAAAACCTCCATTGCAGTTAGCAAGTTATTGGATTTCTTTTAGCCAAAAATTAAAAAAAAAAAAAGGAGAAAAGAAAGAAAGATAGACAGGAAAAAGTTTTAAATAAAAAAGAAAGAAAAAACAGAGAAATCATCTTATGGGCAAGACCAAATCCTCCTCATAGTCTATGATGACTCTTGATCTGTGATTTTGTTAGTTTTTTGAATGAAAATTGCCGTCGGAAACATTTTTTACTTGTATTTTGGACTGGGTTTTTCATCTAAAATAACAACATTTTTTTAGTTACATATGTGAAATGTGTTAAATTGAACTAATGTTTTCTTTTTTTAGATTAATTTAACACAATAAAAATTGATCTTGAATCCATTAAGCCTCAAAGTGTGGACGTTTATGTTGAAGAGATTGATGGATCAAGTTTTAATACCGAAACTCAAGGCAAGCAACTCCTGAAAAGAAAGAGAAAGCTGACCTTAAAAGTTTGGAGTCACTTTGTTCATCTTTCTTTGGGTTCGGATAAAAAATTGAAGGCCAAGTGCAAATTATTTAACTGTTTAATGATTAATAATATATGTTTATCTTCTAATTTGTGAGAGAGTTTTTATGTGTTTGTTTTAATTTTGAACTTAGATTATTTAATGTCTCTTGAGCATGTTAAATAGGTTAAGAAACAAATCTTTAAGTTCAAACATGTTGAGAAACATGTTTTATTGCTGGTCAGGTTGAGAAACAAGTTGAAAAATAGGTTCAGAATAAGTTAACACGACTTATTTATTACTCATTTTATAAATGGGTTGGCAGGTAAAACACAAGTTGACACGACACGTTTATGACCTGTTTAATAAACGGGTTAGTCGTGTCGTGTCGACCCTTCAATATACAGGTCATGTTTAGGTTTTGTATTTCGACACGAATAATAAATGGGTCGTGTTCGTGCCAGGCCTTACTGTGTCAACTGAGGGGATCAACATAGCACGAACACGATACGACAACACGAATTGTCACCCCTAAAAACAAAGATGGGCAATCTGTGTAAGCGACATTAGTTTCTGTTAGTGTGTTTGATAGGAGGTGAAGATGGAGGGAGGGAGAGGACAATTCAATTATTTAGTTGGACGGATAAGAGGGGAGGGATGAGAGATAGAGGGAGAGGCTTCCCTTTGGGAGTATTAATTTGAATCCTTCCACTAATAGAAGGATTCATCAAATATCTTAAATTTTAAACTAAAATCTATTTTACGTATCAAAAATAATTATTATCAAACAATAAAATAGACAATACAGTGATTAAATAAACAATCATTATACATCATTTCAACTCTCCCTACTTAATAATATAGAGAATTAATATAATCCTCTTCCTCATTAGGGGTGTAAGAATTCAAACCGAACCCGACAAACCCGCCTGAGCCAACCCTACCTACTTGAAAATAGTGAGATTTTTTTTTTTTTTGCGGTAGCAATAATGCCCAACCCGCAAAGTACGCGTAGGGTCACGGGGCAGATCAAAGAACCCAATATTGCCCCTACCCGGCCGAATTTATCAGCACAAGGAAAGAAATCAGCCCAATTCCAACGTTTTCTTTGGCCCAATTCCAACGTTTTCTTTGACCAAGTCTAATTCCAACATGAAGGCCCCCAATCCTAACATTTTCTCTGGCTAATGATAATGGGCTTAATTGTAAGAACCCCAATGTGAAGGCCCCCAATCTCAACGTTTTCTCTGGCCAATGATAATGGGCTTAATTGCAAGAACCCCAACGTGAAGGCTCAATCCGACCAACCCGGTCACCCCGAACCTACCCGAGGTAATCCGAAGGGTTACGGGTTTGTTGGCTTAAAGAAGTGTTGCAGCCCAAATCTTTCTCAGCCCACACATTACGGCTCGGACCAATTTCAAACCTAAGGCCGATCCTACCCGGCTGACTTACAGGCGTATTCCTCATATCTCTAACTCTCTCCATCCTTTCTACTCTCCTTTCTTTCTCCCAAACGGGGCCACATTCAATACGCCATCTCATTCATATAGTATAAAACGTCACTTCCTTTCAAAACCACAACCAATACGACATCTCATTCATAAATAAAAACGACAAATCATTTTTTTTTTTTTTGTTAGTAAACTACATTGACGTGTTTTGTTAAAAAAAATTAAAAAAAAAAAAAAAAAAAAAAGTTTTGTTGTTTTGTTTACCTGAAAACGACATACCGCTTCAAACTTTTATTTTTCTTTAAAATAATTTAAGTAAAGCTCATTTTGTTGTTTTGTTTACCTAAAAATGACATACCGCTTCAACATTTTATTTTTCTTTAAAATAATTTAAGTAAAGCTCATTTTTTTTTATTACAAATAAAACAATGATTTTTTTTATTGCAATAGCTCTTATATTTCTTCCAAATTGGCCTCACCTTTTTTTTTTCTAATTTTCATTCAAACATGAAAAAAAAAAAAAAAAAAAAAAAAAAAAACCTTTTTTTCAATTTCTCAATTGTTCCTTTAAAAAATAAAATCTCAATTTCTTATCTGTGATTTTTTTTTCAAAAAAAAAAAAGGAAATGCTCCTCTCTCTGACCCGAACAATAAAATAAATTAATTAATAAATAAATGTCCAGAATACAGAACCCTAAATCCCCAACTTGAGGAGCCGCAAAGATTAGTCAAAATCCAAAAACTATACCCTTCGCGTTATTGTTGAACTGTGCCTGCAAGTTAAATTCTCTCTCTCACGTTCAGTCCAGTCTTCTATAACTATTTAAATTATATATATATATATAAATATATATCTCCTTTTCTCCAGGATGCAAAGTTTATGGCGAAAACCCATCATTCCCCTCCAATCCAATTCCAAAACCCCAAATTCCCAATCTTCCTCACCAACTCTCACCAAATCCCATCTTTTCGGAGACCCCAATCCCAAAGACGTAGCTTTCTCCGATGGCCACCGACGCGTCGCCCAAGTTCCAGAACACGGACTTCCGACCGGTGCCGCAGTTGCCGGACTTCCACCCTGAGATCACTGTGGCGCCGCACGACGGCCTCCACTTCTGGCAGTTCATGATTGCCGGCTCCATCGCCGGCTCTGTCGAACACATGGCCATGTTCCCCGTCGATACCGTCAAGACCCACATGCAGGCCCTCGGCTCCTGCCCCATCCGCTCCGTCGGCGTCCGCCACGCCTTCCGTTCCATCCTTAAATCCGAGGGCCCAATGGGACTCTACCGCGGCATTGGCGCCATGGGCCTCGGTGCCGGCCCGGCCCACGCCGTCTACTTCTCCGTCTACGAGTTCTGCAAGAAGTCCCTCTCCGGCGGAAACCCTAACAACTCCGGCGCCCACGCCGCCTCGGGGGTTTTCGCCACCGTCGCCAGCGACGCCGTGTTCACGCCCATGGACATGGTCAAGCAGAGGCTTCAATTGGCCAACAGCCCCTACAAGGGGGTCTGGGATTGCGTTAGTAGGGTTCTGAGGGAGGACGGGTTTAGGGCTTTCTACGCCTCGTACAGGACGACGGTGCTCATGAACGCGCCGTTCACCGCCGTCCATTTTGCCACCTACGAGGCCGCCAAGCGGGCATTGACGGGGGTCTCGCCGGAGAGCGCTAGCGATGAGCGATTGGTCGTGCACGCAACGGCCGGGGCTGCCGCCGGATCATTGGCTGCGGCGGTGACTACGCCGCTCGACGTGGTTAAGACTCAGTTGCAGTGTCAGGTGAATTTCGGATTTTGTTGCTTGTTTATGCACGTACTGTGTTTGTACTTTTATCATTTGGCTTTGGATTCCCAATTTAACAATGAAAATCTAGGCCCGTTCACTTCACCGATTCGAGTTTAGAATTTGAGTTTTACTACAGTAAAAAGTTTTCAGAAATAGTCACATCTAACTTTTTTGCTACAGTAAAAAGCTCACATAAAATCACATCTCAACTCGAATTACAAACTCGAATCAGCGAAGTGAACGGTGACATCTAGTGGATTGAAGAAGCAAGTAGTTGTGAATGAATTTTGCACTGGTATTGCTTATAACTAGCTATTAGAGCGTATTTTAAAAAAAAATTAAACTTACAAGCATCAGATGAGATTGATGAGTATAGGATTTACCTTGTTCCACCTTATGAAGTTGATTTGACTTGTATTATGGTTTGTCTTTTAACTTCCTTTGTATGTTCTTATTTTAAAACGATAGCTTCACTTGTATATCTATATCTATGTTTTTCTGGGAGTAACATTCTTGGTAGGAGGAGAGTTTATTGAAAGAAATTGTAGAGATATAGACCTAGGTGGAGAACACAATAACAATATCCCACTTGAAAACTATATAAGAATCATTGACTGTATGACTATGCAGTTGGCAATCAAAGAACGCCTGCAGCTTTTGTGCTGATTCTGTAACCTTGATAGCTTGACCTTCAGTTATGTAACACCAGTTATAAGAAAGTCAGGAGAGTAAAACCACCAATAGAACTTTCTAGACCCCAAATCACGATGACCTCCTAAATTTGTTAGCAACTTGGAATTGTTTTTGGATGTTCTCAGTGATGAATCTATGGAAAAAAGATTATATTGTTTTGTGTACGTGTTACTTAAACATTCATTGCCTGTACAGGGTGTGTGTGGTTGTGATAGATTCAAAAGTGATTCAATCAGAGATGTTATAAAGACAATAGTGGAAAAGGATGGTTACAAAGGGTTGGTGAGGGGATGGACTCCAAGGATGCTTTTTCATGCTCCAGCTGCTGCAATCTGCTGGTCTACATATGAAGCCGCGAAATCTTTCTTTCAAGATTTGAACAGTAGATCTAGTAGTGGCTCAACCTGAATAATAATTTTGAAGATGCAAAAGAGAATTCTTGTCTTGGCATTACAGATTACAGATACCTCTGTAATTTTGAAAAAAACCATAGATGTCCCTTCACACGAGGGACTACTAAGCAGGGCAAACAAGCAAAGCAATTTTCATACATTTGAGTAAACGGTGCTAGTCAAATTAGATGCTGAGGCTTAAATTTAGAGCCCGTTTGATTCATGGATTAGAACCATTTTTTATTTACGTGTATTTTTTATGAGAGAAAATACTGTAGCGAATCATGAATCATGATTCGAATCAGAGAACGAATCCTCCAACTAAACGGGCTGTTAGTTTGTAACGGTATGCATTTGTTTTTGGTTTAATTTATCCTCTTCTTTTTTTTTTCTGAGGATTATAGTTGATCCTTTTTTGCCTTGCTTAGTGTATGGTCAAATAAGCACCTGAAAGAGGTTTCGTTTTAGTTGTTGGTAGTAAATCTTTTTTATACACATTGATTGATTGGTCCTGTCTTTATTGGTTAATGATATGGTTCCTAAATTTGATCGGTACCCTCGAGCGTTTTCCCCTTCTTTAAGATCATTTTGTGATATGGATTTTTTTAGGTCCCAAATTGTTGTGGCTATTATTGCCTTCTCCTGTGTCTTTGGAATATCATTAACTATTTTAAATCCATTAAATTGATACAAGGGAACGTGATGTGAATTTTTTCACCTCTTAACTTCAATCTTTGCGACTTTGTGCTATGCTGTTCAAAATGCAAGTTACTTTGATGTAGACTAGGCGAGTTGTGGAAAGATGTCCGCTTCATAAACACCAAATAATTAGGAGAAACGTGAGAACCTTATCTACTTGTGCTTGAATAATGTATATATACCTGAAGGGGTAAAGGTAATAAGACCATCAATCAGACAACCAAACAAAAGTAAGTTTCCAATCGATGTTCAAATAAGCCGATGTTTTTCTCTACACCATAGCTATAGACTAGAATAGTTACAGAGAACGAATTAAACTGTATCAGAGCTTCTTGAAAAAGTGATTCCGTAAGTTGTGGCAACTGCACATGGTTCTCTCAACTTTCTTTCGAAACAACAATGTTTCAAGAACTTACGACTTGACCAACAATCACGGTAATGTCATCGAGTTTTCCACCTGTGGAAAAGAAAAGAAAAGAAACGAAAATTCAGGGTGAGATGTTTCATTAATGAGGTATCATTATCATGAAAGACGAAAGATAACCATGCCTGTAAGTTTCCTCCCAAGAATTTTCTTCCACCAAGGAACATCAAAACCCTGAAAGCAATTAAGTACCAGATTATAAACATGAAATTTTCGCAGCCATGAAATCGAAAAGGTTAGTTTCGACAAATAATATGATGGGTTTTCGCCCACATTTTTTGAAGAAAGAAAAAAATTAGACACCGAAAACAGTGACTAATAAAACAAAAGGGGAATTTGATAGGCCACCGGTGCACTTTACTTACGTGAGGAGAAATAAAAGGCAGGGGTAGAAGGGGAATTTTGTAAGGAGGCGGTCTATGGTAGTATCCGTGGATATATAGTTAGAAAATAAAGAGAGGAGTTAGTTAGACAATTGTATTGTGAGGAAATTGGAGAGTTGAGGTCTCTCGAAAACCTCTGTATGTGTGTAGAGTGTGTGGAAAGTTCCTAATTGAATCTTTCCGATAGTAGATAATTGAATAATATTTGAGTAATTGCATTCTTACCGGTGATTTGTTGGTGATCTCGTATCAAATTGGTATCAGAGCGTCGATCTTGCGTAATCTGTGATGGCCGCCAGAAAATTGGAGGAAAGACTTGGTACCGTGGAGGAACAGTTGAGTTCGGTTTGGGAGGGAATTGCGAAGGAGATGGAAGAAGTTAAGGATGATTTGCAGAAGATTCCTGCATTGGAGAAGAATGTGGCATTGATTTTGGGAAAATTGGATTCGTTGTTGCAAAAACAAGGAGGAGAAGATTCGGAATTTAGGGAGGCTAGGAACCTAGGGGCGCCAGCCATTAGTCTCGATGGCGAGGCTCTGGCTTGGTTCTAGTGGACGGACGGGCGCCGGCCCATTCACGATTGGTTGGAATTCAAAAGGCTGTTGCTCGACCGTTTCCGACCGTCACAGGAGGGCTCGAACTGCGAGAAATTCCTTGCTCTCCGGCAAGAGGGAACAGTGCGCGCGTATATATGGGATTTCGAGATGCTGGCCGCACCTTTGACGGAGATTCCCACGGCGATCCTCGAAGGAAACTTCATCAACGGTCTGAAGCTGGAGATTAGGGCGGAAATTCCCCTGCTTCAGCCGAGCGGGTTGAATCGCATCCTCGAGCTGGCGCAGAGAGTGGAGGATCGAAATTTTGCTTTAAGAGGAGCTAAAGGAACGACGTCCAACCAGTGGGTACGACAACAGCCGTATAATCAGGCCTTTCGAAGCCAACCGACAAACGTGCTCAAATCAGCCATGTCAAACGACAAGTCGTTTGGCCCTTCACAAAACGACAAGTCGTTTCAACCATCAGGTAAGCCTTTTGTTAGGCAATTTTCTGAGTCCGAAATTCAGAAAAGACGTGAAAAAGGACTCTGCTTTAAATGTGATGAGAAATATTATTTTGGACATGTTTGTAAGAATAAGGAATTACAGATTTTAATTTTAGAAGAGGAAGAGGAAGTTAGTCAAATTGAACAGGAAGAAATTACAGTAGTGAATGAGGAGGAGGTGGTGGAACTCTCTTTGAATTCAGTGGTGGGAATCACTACTCCAAAAACCATGAAGATACGAGGATTAGTGGGGAGTCAGGAGGTGGTTGTGCTTATCGATTCGGGAGCCACCCACAATTTTATCTCCATGGAATTGGTGAGGAGGTTAGACCTGCCATTAGTTACAACCCAAGAGTATGGGGTGATTATGGGAACAGGAAAGGCTGTGAAGGGGAGTGGGATTTGCAGGGGATTGGTGTTGGGGTTGCAAGGGGTGGAAGTGGTGGAAGACTTTTTACCCCTTGAGCTTGGGAGTTCGGACGTCATACTAGGCATGCAATGGTTGGGCTCCCTTGGCAATATGACTGTTAATTGGCAGACATTAACAATGAAGTTTAAGGTGGGTGAGTCAACGGTGACATTACAGGGGGATTCCAGTCTTAGTAGGACTTTGGTCTCTTTAAAGTCTATGCTAAAAACAATCAAGAAGGCAGGAGAGGGGATCTTAGTAGAGTTGGGATGTGTACATGTCGCCGAAGAGGGGAAGCAAACGGAAATGCCAGAGGAGATCTCACAAGTGTTGCGGCAGTTTGCGGCTATTTTTGAGAAGCCGCAGGGATTACCACCGACTCGGGCTCGTGATCATGCGATTGTACTTCAAGAGGGCACGACACCGATTAGGGTGCGGCCGTATCGCTATCCACAGGTGCAGAAGGATGAGATTGGGCACTTGGTTAACGAAATGTTACAAGCGGGCATCATTCAACCGAGTTCCAGCCCGTACTCGAGTCCGGTACTTTTGGTTAAGAAAAAGGACGGGAGTTGGCGTTTTTGTGTGGATTATAGGGCTTTGAATTGCACGACTGTCCCTGACCGCTTCCCTATTCCGGTAATAGATGAGTTGTTAGATGAGTTGCATAGGGCAAAGATCTTTTCCAAGTTGGACCTTCGTTCGGGGTATCACCAAATTAGGGTGCGCGCCGAGGATATACCAAAAACAGCGTTTAGAACCCACGAAGGGCACTATGAATTTTTGGTAATGCCGTTTGGTTTGACAAACGCGCCGGCCACTTTTCAGGCCTTAATGAATGAGGTGTTTAAGTGTTTCCTAAGGAAGTTTGTGTTGGTGTTTTTTGATGACATCTTGATTTATAGTGCGACTTTGGGAGAGCACGTGGAACACTTGTTTCGGGTTTTTTAGTTACTATGGCAGCATAGTTTGAGAGTTAATAATAAAAAGTGTTGTTTTGGCCAATCGTCACTGGAGTATCTCGGGCATATTATTTCAGCCGAGGGGGTGGCAGCTGATGAGAGGAAGATCGAAGCTATGCTGAATTGGCCAACTCCCAAGACACTGCGGGAGTTGAGGGGTTTCTTGGGTCTTACTGGCTATTATCGTAAGTTCGTCAAGAATTATGGGACGGTGGCTGGTCCTTTGACTACGCAACTCAAGAAAGATCAGTTTGGGTGGAATCAAGAGGCCGAGGAGTCATTTGTGGCATTGAAGAAGGCCATGACTACGGTTCCGGTGTTGGCCTTACCGGATTTTTCTCAGCCATTTGTGGTTGAGACGGATGCCTCCGGCTATGGCCTAGGGGCTGTGTTGATGCAAAATGGTCGTCCAATTGCCTTTTACAGCCATGTTTTGTCTCCTCGAGGCAGGGCACGTTCAATTTACGAGCGCGAGTTGATGGCAATTGTCTTGGCAGTGCAGAAATGGCGACCATATTTGCTTGGAAGGCGTTTTGTCGTTCGCACCGACCAACAGAGTTTGAAGTTTCTGTTGGAGCAGCGACTGATTAGTACTGAGCACCAAAAGTGGGTTACTAAACTGTTGGGATATGACTTTGACATCCAATACAGGCCAGGCATAGAGAATAAGGCTGCTGACGCGCTTTCTCGGGTGGAAAGAGGGCCCTCGTTGTGCACGCTATCGTT